CAATAACTGAAAGGGGGACCATCCTTAAGCAATTCCTTTCCAGGGAGGTTCCGCAGGGATTGGGTGTTGTCTTGCACTGTCTAATTTTGTGTTGTGTTCTTTTGTTTTAAACCATGCCCCAGATAAAATCCCAAGTGACGAAATTTGCAGCTGACACAGAGGTTGGAAAAGTGGTCAGATAGAAGAAGAACAGCTGCCTAGCACTGAGTAAATTGTAACATCTGGTAGGTTCAGATGAGTGCACTTTCCCTACATCTACTGTTAATCTCAGAAGAAAGGACCTCAGGATGGTCCTTTTCAGCCCTTGGTAACTAAAGGACCATCCAACATCTTTAGAAAAAAAACCTTGGTCTACTTATAGCTCCACTGTCACTGCAAGGCACCTCCCACGTGCATTGCCTGTGTGTGTACATGTCAAAAAGCTTGCAAGCGGTTCTGGACAAAAATCTCACGTTGTGAATCACAATCATCCTGAATGCAGGGAGTAGCACCATGGCAGGTCAGACTTGGAGCATCAGTGACTGTATTATGAAAACAGGTAACTCTGCAAAATCCTGGGGTAGCAGTAGGGAGTAGGCAGCCACAGGTTATTGTGGCATATGGCTCTGTGGCAAAAGGGGTAACAAGATCCTTGGATCCACAAACAGGAAAGATGTAGGGTTGGAAATATTGCTTGAACTCTTTCCTTGGCTCCTGTGTGCTCTCAGGTCCTGGCAACCACAACTCCAGAAGAAAGAGGAAGAAGCCATGATGTGAGTAAAAGGCTATGAAGTGCACCTTGTCACACCTGGGTCAAGGAGAACAAAGCTGTCCATCTTCTGAAAGAAAAGGAGTGACTTAATCACAGTCCGTCAGGGCTGGATCTGGAGAAAGGTCTAGGTGCCCAAGAAGGGGTGTAAACAGACTTCAAGCTTCAGAATTTAGATCTAGAAAGGTTCAGCGGCTGCCTAACCCTAGAGGCAATTACATTGATTGTGCACCTCTCTGTTGGTCTCCCCCAGAATCTGCAGTTCTGCTCCTGTGCGTGCCCTGGACTGTCCTGGCCATGTATCTCTGCTTCTTGCCCCTGCCTAGGGTGGATCAGGATCCCAAATCTAGGCAGAGGAGGACTGCAGTCCCTGAAGCCCCGTCAACAAGCCCAGTGAGACCACCTCCACTGCCCGCTGCCATACACCACCCACAGCTCTTCTCACCTCTACATACATGTTCTGCATTAAACAACCCTGAGTGAAATCATCCCAGGAGCAGAACTTGTTCTTTCCCTTCCTCCCTCCCCATGCCAGCCAAGTCACTAGTGCTCTTCCCTCGGGATGTGCTTGTGCCATCGTTCCCAGCTTTGCCCAGGACAAACTCCATGCAACCCCTCGCTCTGTGACCCTGCTGGCTTTCCCCCAGCATGTATAACCGCAGCCAGAGTAGCTAACCGGGGTTTGGGTTCCCAGCCAGGGGCAGGCACGCAGATTGTATGTACCAGGACCTAGCCCTAAGCAGGGAAACAGACACTTGGCAGCAGGGGGCTCTTCCCCTTCACAGAGTAAGGAATTAGATTAAAAACTGCAGGATGAGACTTGACAGATTCAGACTCGGCAAAAACCAATAATAATTGACAACGTGTGTAATTAAGCAGTGGAAGAACATGCTAAGGTCTGTGGCTGGTTCTTCAGTGCTGAATATTTTACACCAAAATGTCTTTTTATCAAAGAGATGCTCTAGTTCAAATGGGAGTGAATTAGATCAGGGGAGTTCTCTGACCTGAGGTAGGTAGAAGATCATTCAGATAATCCACATACTCCCTCTGGCCTTGTGACTAATTCCCTTTGGTACAGCTATTCCTGATGTGAGATCCGCTTGGACCTGTGCTTGCCCTCAGGAACTTATAAACTAATTACATTTGTTGTGTCAACCCATTAGATACTCACGGGCTGCATGCAGACTCATTAGTTAGACTGAATTATGTCTTGGCTCTTTGAACGTTATCAAAACATTCAGATCTAGAGTGTTTCATAGTCTGCCACCTTTACTCCTTTGTACACAGATTTCTGTGGTTACTCCTTGCTAACAAACCACAGATTTTAATGCACATATGCTGGTTTCGGTTATTTTGTAGATTGAAACTATGGTGGCTGATGTCATCCTGATCTTTTAAATTTATCTTACTTTTAATTAAACCTTTTATTGTTAGATTTTTTAAAAAAATCATTTAGATCTCATATGTTAACTTTGTTTTAAAAAACCTGTCAGCTAAGATTCCTACAGAAGATGTGTAGTAGCTCACACATTGAGAGCCTGCAGGTCCCTGGTACCTCCACACCTGCAGTGCCTGCAAAGGAGCCCGGCCCACAGTCTCTCCCAGTGAGCAGGATGTTCACAGAAGGTGGGACATGATAGAGAAGTATAAATATAATGGCAAATGCATGAAGCACCTGTATTCAGTGCAAATGAGCTGTTTTGCTTGAAGCTGGCTCTAGACTACTCTGAATTTTCCTGGGGCACAGCTAGGCAGTCAGACTCTTGCTGTGAAAACCTCAGGTTTCTGTACCTCCTTTGGAGTTTGAAGCAGTCTGTCTCATTTCTTCCCTTCCCCCTTTAAGAACAAACAAACAATGAGGAACTGGTCTTGGGAGAGTTTTGAGAGGCCACCACTGTCTTCCAGCTGCAGTGATGTTCCATTGGGTTCTGGGGGAATGAAGGTCCATTGGGTGTCAACTTCATGTCTTCATGCTGAGCCACTCTTTCTGGGGTAGCCCAGTGCCCCATGACTGCAGGAATATCAACAGCTGCCCCAAAGCCACTCTCTTCGTTCACTTTTAAACACAGTTTGCATTCTTGATATGCTGGCTGTGCGATTCATGTGTGAATAATAGTTTTCTATGACTGTTATTCAGCACCTACATACTTTTGCTGGAAGGAGGGTGGAGGACAGCAGGGTGGGGAGGTTTTTAGTTAATGAAACTGTTGTTATTTACTGACAAGATCACCAAGTATCTTGAGAAGTGGGAATTTTATCTCCTTCCAAGTAACTAAACAGGAATTTGCACTGCAGAATATGAGTGAAGCATGTGTATTCCAGGAGGAAAAAAAAGAAGAGTGTTAACAGTCCTGTTGCCTGGGGACTTCAACATCTGTGAGGAAACATCAGTGATCATACAGTGTCCACGTTCTTTACGATGACTTGATTGTTTTAGCTCCAGGCCAGTGGGAGCAGTACATGAACACACACTCCAGCTAGACCCACCTCACGTGAACTCAGCATCATGGCAATCCTTTCCTTGTGCTTCAGATATTCCTAAAGCTTCATCTAGCCTGGGAAAATTAGTTCATCGTGAAGTAGGTTCCAGCTGACTGGGTTTTTCACATGCAGACATTGGTGAGGCTAATGCTGGTGGAGTCCTTGAGAGGGCATGAGAGTGCTTCAGGTGTCTTGGCTCTGAGAGGTGTTTGGGGGGGTCCCTGCAGGAGGGTTGGACTTAGAGTGCTGCGCCTGCAAAGTTGCAGTCATGTAACATACATGCGTGCGTCCCACCAGGACTGCAGCTCCACCGCCCCCTCCTACCCAGGGACCAGCAGGAGTTAGAGATGAGTGGCCCAATGCTTCCTGGCCATATGGCCCCGCAGACAGCTGTGGGGGCTGACCATGCTGCCCACACCATGACTCCAACACTGCCACCACAGACCCAGGCCCACCATAGATCCTACGCAGGGTTGGAAGGTGTTCACGGGTCAAGGAGGTTGTTGGCTATTAAGGCGAGAGCATAAATTGGTGCACAGTGTCTCAAATGCTGGCTGGCTGGCTCCAGTTAAGGAAGAGGCTGCTGTGGATGAGAGCCCCAGGGGATGGCATGCAGCCCCTGTGCTCGGGCATGTGGTACCCAGGCACCCCACTGTCAGCTGCAGCCTCTGGCCAAAGGGGCAGAAGAAAGGGCCAAGTACACACTAAGGAGGAGAGGAGACGTTTCACTCATTTAATTTCACAGCTTCCAAAACCAGCCTAAAACGGGGTAGAGAACAAGTGAGAAGGAAAACACTGTTTACATAATCCCTTGGCAGTGAAATAGGTCAGTGGTTCTTGCGGGAGAAGAGGAATGCAGTTTTTAAGAAATAAACAGCATCGCTGTACTTGGTAATAGCTGGACAGTCCTGCTTTCCTGGAGAGTAACACAGAAGTTTATGATGGGCTTATATGCCTTGGTTTTTTGCCCCACGGTCTCTCCTCTGAACACGGCTCTCTAAAATGGAACATTCATGCTGTTTTCTTCAAACTAATCTGTAATTCCTTAGCTGTAACACAAAGGGAGGCACCCATCTTTTTGTTTGGGTTGTTTTTTTCTCTTCCACAAATGTCCTTGTTTGTGTTAACTAGCAAATCTAATCATCCAGCTCAGAGGAGAGTTACACAACTGCAAACCTCCTGAGATTTCAGTCTAATAGAGAATCTTGCTTAATATCGCCGTGTTCGCTTCTTGCTTCAGATTTGCAGCTCCTTTGGCATTACAGTTGTGCTGTGCTTTTATATATAAACCAGATTAAACAGCAAAAGGAATTCTGGACGGAAAAGCTGTATTATTTCCACCTTGCAGGACTTACTGAAATGAGCCTGGCTGTACTAAATGTGAGATAAAACTCCCACAGAGAGCATTAGTCTGACTGATTAATGTAAACATTTAAAGAAGTCAGTCTTGGTTGAGCTTCCTAGTCAAATGAGGTGGGTAATGGTGCACAATCAGCAGAGCCCCTCTCCTTTGTCGAGCATCGCTGACAGAAACCTGACTGTCATTTATCCTCACTGGGAAGCAGCAGGATGAGTATTGGGTAACAACAGATAAAGCAGGGCTTGGGTAACTCTTTCAAGCGAGGAATTGCAAGTGTCTTTTCTGTGGAACTGCCTAGTGCTGTGAAACAGCCTTCGTTCTTCCTCTGCATCCTTGATGTGGGCCATCTGGAGAGGAAAATCTCATCAACCTCTAGAAATGCAGCCAGGTTTATGAATACTTTATTTTGCGGTTGACTTTTAAGGGAGCTAATCTTTTCAGGAGGAGGTCTGAAGGAAAGGCGAGTTACAGGTATGTGCATTTAATACGTGTTGATGAAGGCATAGACAAAGTTGCTTTCTTTCCCTCTGGTTTTCACTATCTTGTTTTCAGGAGCCATTCCTCAAACCCATCCTTCCTGTTAGCTTTTTGCCTCCACCCACACTCTATGGGGCTTGATTCTGACCTCCAGGGTGGAGCTGCAGCCACCGGCATGGGTGCTGTGTTGCGGTGCGAGCGAACAGCTCCAGCGGCCACAGGCTGGGGGGTCCCCTCCTGTAATACTGAACTCTTCTCTCTATGAACTGAAAAATGCCGTGTGCTGGGGCACCGACCTGCACAACATCTCTAATTGGTGACTTCCACGGGGCACTCCTTCTCTCAGCTTGCTTTGGGCCCTGCCTGCCCAGCTTGGCAGATGGCTCCCCTGTCGCAGCAGCTCTGCTGGCTCTGGAAGCAGCCCCAGCACCAGCCGCTGTGGAGATGCTAGTAGAGCTGTAGCTGAAACAAAGCACATTGCTCAGAGCGTAGAGCTGGGTAGCCAAGTTTCTGCAGCACTTCCAGATGTGAAGCGGGGGAGTTGGTTGTAGTCTATTTTTTAGATTTTTTTAATTGTTTCTGATTTATTTTTTTTAAAGCACCGTGCAAGCGTGCTGCAAACAATTTGTACTGTTCGCTTGTGCTCAGCTGCATGTTCCCGGTGGCAGTCACTTAGCATTTTTTCTAGCTAAGATAGAAAAAGTCTGTGTGCTGGGGCAGGTCAGCAGCAGAGATCTCTTCCACTGAAATCCAAGCAAAAACCATACCCACTCTGTCCCACATGTGACTTCTGCTCTCGGCCTCGAAGGTAATCTTGTCCTGACAGACCGTTCCAGGGATCAAGGAGGGGCAATGCCTACGCTCACTCAACCAGGAGGCAAAATTCCTCTTTGGGGAGTTTAGACTGAGTAAGGATTGTGTGATTTTGGCCAACCATTTTGTGAAGGAGTGCTCCAAGGAGCCGTTATTGCTGAGTAACTTCCCATCTGTGTGGGCACTCGGGAGAAGGGGCAGAGGCTGCTGGAGAGTCACACTGGGTATTTATTTCTCCAGGGAAGCAGGAGCTTGGACCCAGACCCCAGTCCCCCTGTCAGCATGCTGCACTGGTGCTTCAGATTCTCCCTAACATGCATCTTTTCCCCCATTTTGTCCTGTCTGTAGTGTAAAGCAACCTCCTTAACAAATTCTGCAGCCTTTTCTGGGAGATTAGAAATGATTGGGAGGGGGGATTAAGTTGTGAGAGGAACTAAAGAAACTGGTGCAGCCTGTCAATGCTTCTTTTCAGGTGGTAAGAAATGAGTGTGATGAAGCCCTGGTTGCTGCTGCTCATTCTCCTGGTCAGCTTCAGCTCACCTGCACCCAGGTTTTCGGTGCGTATCTCTTAGCCAGTGTCTGTACAACCTCTCTTTGGACAGTGGGTTTATCATTCCTTGTCATTTAGAGGTAGGTGCTCCCCCACAAAACGGATGGGAACCTGCAAGAGCAGAGCAAAAAAGCATCTGCCTGCAACAACTTTTGTTGTCCTGACAATATAGGGCTTTCGTGGCATTAGGGGCTGTGCAGTGCAGCTCCCTGTCTGGCTGGACTTTAAAAAAGCAACAAAAAAATCCCTGTAAAGAGAAAAAGAAAGGGTTGGGTCCTTATGGGTCCCTTCTAACTTGAGATATTCTATGATTCTATAATGCTATTCTCCGCTCCATTCCCTCGGGGAAAACTGTCTTCTTTTTATTCATTGCGATTTAAAAAGCAGGAAGGGGACTAGGAGGCAGGCATAGTCTGAGGCATTCTGTACTTGTCTGATGAGCAAATTACTCTTGGGCCATCCCAAGGAGGTACAGAGGTTGTCAAGGAAAGTTTAGTGAGCTCAAGGCTGTCTTCAGCAGGTCCCTCTGTGCCTCCAGCCTAGAAATCCTCCTCTGTGGAGGAAAACCAACAGGCCTAGAAGAAGGAAGAGGCATCTAGGAGGCCACGTCTGAGCACGCTCTGCAGTCTGCTGTTACGAGCAAGTGCTTGGTTTGCTTATGCCTAGAACTGGTCCTGACCTGGTATCACTCAGGCCAGCTTGCTTGGAGTGAAAATAGGCAGTGATTCTCATTGCGTGGGTTTGCTTGGTTATCTTGGAAAAGATTTTGCTCTGTTTTGTCATGTTTCTGATGGAGTAACACCAGCCACAGACTAGATTGTTGCTGAAAATGTTTATCCCAGCCAGTGTCAGCCAGATTCTGGTCTTGGTTACAGTAGTGCAGCTCTGAAGTTACTCTGCTGATCCTGGTAGGCTCACTGCTTTCAGCTGATGTGCACCGAGGGTCAGCTATTTTATCTTCCAGTTTTACAAGAAGATGTTTCAGGACCCTCGCTGGTTTGGCCTGGCTGCAGTGCAAGAACCAGTTTTTCTCCCTCTTATTAGCCTGAGCAGTATCATAGTCTGCAAACACTCCTTTGTTTTCATTAAATGGGAGTCGAGCTGAGTTATTTTTGTCCAAAGTAATTTTCTGTGTATCTGATCATATTCTAGGGTGCTCTGAGCAGTAGGAAGGTCATTGTAGAAAACCCTTTTCCACTGGGTTCAACTCAGCAGCCCATGCTGTACATGATTTGTGTATCTTAGACTACCAACGAATCGACTTAGTCCACAGAAGCAGCGTGACACGTTAGGATCAAAAGGAGGCAAATACTACTTCCCCTCTGCCTCTTTGTTCTTCCCACTGACTGAAATGTGGGGTTTTTTGTTTTATTTTCTCCATAGGAAAAAGATGTCTGCATCCTAGACAACAATAAATTAAGACAAAGGTTAAAACACCTTCAAGATTTGCTTTACTTATATGAACTGCAACTGAAGGATATCCTGGAGAACACTTACCATAGAACAAAAAGTGGGCTGTTTGCAGGCAACAGGAGCATGCAGCACGAGATGCTTTTACCCACAACCAGTGGAAATTTGATAGTCTATGATCAAGGTACAGTTTACAGTAGTGTATGTTGAAATTTCAGCTTGCCAAAAGGTTTATCCCTCCCTGCAACGTCTCATGTGTTGTATTTCTGCTAGAAGTTTTAGAATTTTTAAAGTGGATTGTGTTTTAAAATGCAGATACCTGGGAAGGAGAAGGGCAGACTGGTGGCCCTGGTACCAGCAGACATGCCCTGGGGCCAGAGTCTGCTGCCCCATCTTTAGGCAGCTGCCACCCAGCTACAACGCAGACACCTGCAGCTGGGCTTCCCACTTGGGACTCTGGTGCAGAGAGGAACAGGCACCTCTCAGCTGTGTTCTATCAAACCTACTTTAGACATCTCATGTAGGAAGAGATGGTCTTGCCCTTAAAGAGCTCATTTTCCCTGAGTGACTCACACGAGCTCAGAGTGCCTGGCTCAGCTGTGGGCACTGAAACCTGTTTGGAGGAGCCCAGTATCCCTGTTCCTTGTCTCTTCTGTCACTTCTGCAGCGCAGTCTCATGTGTGTATGCTCTGTTTCTTTCTGTGACTTTGAGAACACTGTCATAACAGGAATTGTGGCCTGGGGCTAAGATTTTCTCTTTCATGTGCATTACATTGAAAATGTGAAGCACTGAGATCCTGAAAGGCACTCTCCTGATACAGCCTTGGTCACAGGAACTTAGGCCCTTATTTTAAGAAGTTTTGGGGTCTGATCCAATCTGAAGTACAGCTGAGGTTGCCTTTCACATGGAAATTAGTTTCCCTGCAAATTATCTTTCTGACAGAGCCAATCCTGGTCCCGTGCCACTCCCATACTATAGCCCCAAACTGAGCTGCAGCAGTCCTGTATCTCACCAAAGGTTTGGGAATTACTGCCTCAGAGGACATGGCTGTAAAGGCTCTTAAGCCTTGCTGCTATTCGTCAGGCTCAGCAGTTTGCAAAACAGCATTGCTAGTACCTTGCTGAGCCATTTGCTTCAGCTTTACAGGGCTTGCAGAGCTACACACAGGCTGGCCAAGCGCCCTTGACCCATACAACCCCTCAGTGATGTCCTCTCTTGGCTGTGCATACCCCTTTGCTATCCCCCTGCCCAGTTTAACAAACCATTCTGCCTAGATTGCTCTGCGGTATTTAATCGGAAGAAGACCAAAAATGGCTACTACCGGATCAGGCCCAGAGCAGACCAAGAGCCCTTCCTGGCATACTGTGACATGTCTGATGGCGGAGGCTGGACTGTCATTCAGCGACGCAGTAATGGCAAGGAGAATTTCAACAGGTGGGTGTGTCGTGGTTGCATCGACAGGGCTTGCAGTCAGGCCTCCAGCTCCCACTCCCTGTCCTGCTGCCTGGTAAAACCCAAAATGTGAGAAGCAGGGTATACAAGACTATACTTTGGTGATGATAACTCTGTGCATTAGGACAGTTTGGTGGTATATATTGGTAGCAGGAAGCCATTTTCAAAGTGGATCTATAACACCTTTTCTATGGCTCCTCTGCATTTGAGTAAGTGCATATGTGTGTGCGTATTTATTTTATCATTATTGGCAGATATCTGCTGCTAGTGCATAGACTGGGACCTGTTGAACATATTATCTGTTCTGATATCAGGAATTATGTTCAGCATGGTGTGACATTTATTTTCTTTATTCAGATCATTCAAAAAAGGTGCCAAATTACTGGTCCAGATTGACCTATGCAAAATCCCAGAGAGGTGACTTTCACCTGGAAATTTCCAGGAGGAGAGATGCTCTGGTAGCACAGCCAAGAAGAGACCTCCCCATGCAGATTAATTCACTATCACAGCACACACTTTTAGGGCACGTCTAGCGTCTCTTACACTGAGTGTAGTCCACTGCAAAGCTACCTCAACCAGCTCTAAGATGGCTTGCCCAGAGAGTGGTAGCTGTCTAGCCATGGTAGTTCAGCTCTCACCACAGGTGAATGAGAAACATCCTGAAGAGGAGCACTGACTAGTATGTAGGTCAGGCAAAACTGCTATCCCTAATAACAACATGAGAAAGAGAATAAACCTGGGGTTAGTAAAACTGGAAATGATACACAGGAAGTATAAGTGAATACCAAAGATAACACAAAAATAACAGAGAAGATTTTAAGAGAATGAAATGATGAGAAGAAAGTAACAGCAGGAGATTTCTCTTAGAAAGATGAAGCCAGACATTGCTAATGAAAAATAAGTATATATCTTTGAATGACAAGTTGCCACATCCAAACAGTAATCGTGTGAAAAAGCAGAGGTGAGTGTGGTCAGTGAATCAAAAATAGATTTGAATGGAACAGGAGCACAAACCAGACCCAGATGTTTTCCTTTTAACTTTTGGAAGCTTTGTCTGAAGCTCCTATTCAGTTTCTGATTCTTCACCATATCACATCGTACATACAAGATTGCATCATATTTTAGACTGCAACAGTAATTTCCAGCCAGGAGTGCATTTGAATTATGACTTGCTGAAGAACAATATCAGATGCATATTGAAGAACACTATGACAGCTGCTGCTTTCCCTTTCCATCTGACAACCTCATTCTGTGAGCACTGCATCTGGCAGTTTGAAGGTTTGATCCCAATATAAGTGTGTGCACAGGTTTAGCAAGGTAAGAAATAAGCTGTGAGTTGTATTTACTTTTAAGGCAGAGTGACAAATCTCAGCTCAGCTTGCAGTGAATCAGATGCTTTTAGAAAACCATGTCTAGAGATACAGCTGAGTTTTACTTGTTGGCATAGCTAAGTATCACAAACTGTCTAATTCCCTCACATGCTGAAATTGATATTAGTATTTCACTGCAGGAAATGGGATGATTACAAACTGGGATTTGGGAAATTCCAGGGCAAGAATGATGAATACTGGCTGGGCAACGACCACATCCATGACCTGCTCACTAGAGGTGCAAGTATTTTCCCTCAACAGATTTCTTTCCAATTTGCATGACACAGTTCATCTAACACGATATCACTTTGTGTTTAGGAGAGAGCTCACTAAAGATTGACCTGATGGACTGGCATGGGGAAAGACGTTATGCAGTCTATGAAAATTTCCAGCTTGCGAGTGAGCAGGTAAAAAATGGAGAGAGTAGTGATTTGTTGTTTTGTCAGAGAGGGCAGGGCATCTGCGTATGCAGCATCAGACTTCAGTATCAGGGTGTAATTAGAGCTCTGCAAAACGTAACTGTTCTGGTTCCCTGGAATTCCTGGTTTGGCTGACTGACAAATAGCCCTGGGAGCAGGGATGTAAGCCTGGGACTTCTTCCTCACAGCTGCTGAATGCTCAAGCCACCGGGTAACAGGATCATGCGTGCTCTCTTGCTAATTCTGCTGCTGCACGGAGGGCAGCCCTCTGCTGCAGGACACAGGGATTCCCACATGCATTTCCCTCTGGCCTCATGGTTAAGAGTCTTCCTTGAGGGAGGAGAAAAGAGTTTGAATCTCTGCAAGGAAACTGAACACTGTTCGCCCACTTCCTAGGAGAGTGTTTCAGGCTGTCACATAAAAGGCAATTACCAGGACAAACCCACTCTGCTTTGTTTTAAAAGAAAACAGTGAACTCTAATCAAAGCTTTGAAAGAGCAGTTATAAGTTCCTGTCTTGAAGAGATGTACCTGTAGCACCACACTTAGTGCTACAGGCACAGAAAGCCCAAAGACAGACACATCCTTGTATTTTCGCATTTGCTTTCTAGCTTTAGGCAGCATCCAGCTCAATGCAGGTGCTGCTCTTTGCAGGCTTGCTTTTCTGAACACCACGCATAAGCAGCCTGAATACCCAAGGACATGAGTTCCATTGCATGGGCCAGGCCTAGTTCCAACTCAATCACTGCTCCAGAAATGTACACATTGTGTCCAGTTTGCACTTAAAGTTTTCTTATGAAAAGTTTGAACAACTTCATGGTAATACCTTACTGCTCTTTTTCATAAATGAAAGTCGAATATGATGACAGGAAAAAGCCCACACCACAAAACCATCCATGTCATATCAAATGTCTCTTAGACCTGCTAGCTGTGCACAATGGAACTATTCTTCTAAGTATTCCTATCAGGACTGGGTCATTTAGCTAGAAATCAGATGGCCTCTAGTTCTTGGAGGAGCAAAATTCCTAAGGAATTATTCTAGCTGAACAGCTAATCAGTTTACGAAGGCAACTACTTGGCACAGTTTTCTGCCAGGTTGTTCTTGATGAGCTAGGAAGAGCCTTCCAGCTTGTTGTATAGTGTATCAAATGATTATTGAAAGACAATAAAGCCTGAAGCCCTTTGTAGCAGCAGCAATCCCATCTGGAAGTTTAAATGCAGTATTGATCTACACTGGGATCATTAAAGCATGGGGCCAAAAGTCACCCTTAACTTCAACAGTCATGCCTTTGACAGTGGATACGATGGCCAGAGGAAATTTGATCTCAAAAATGGGAGGAAGGGCAGAAAGAGCTGATATCAAAGACGTTTCACATATTCTTGCAGGACAATTACAGGTTATGGTTTGGCACCTATTCTGGTAATGCTGGCGACGCTCTGTCTGGTGGGAGCAATTTTGAAGATCAGTGGTCAGCCTCGCACAGAGGGATGCAGTTCACCACATCTGACAAGGATCATGATCGATTCCTGGCAGGCAACTGTGCATTAGAGAACAAGGGCGGTTGGTGGTTTAACAGGTATGGAAAACAGTTGATTCCTCTCAGCCCTTGGAAGGATGCATAGGGTGTGGGTGGCTGTACAGCTGAGAGGACTTGCCTGCCTTACAGCAGCTGCAGGTTGCTGTGTGTGCATGCCACTTCGCACAGCCAAATCTAAGATGTTCTCACCTACAGATCCTTAAAGGAAAGCAATGTGCTTCTTTTGTTATGAAGCAAAGCAGGTAAGTTGTATTCATTTTAAGAAACTGGGATCATTTTAAGCATAGGGGGGAATGACCTAGAAGGAAAAGAGCACGATTAAAATTCCTTAAAGTGCTGTGGGTTATATCCCAGGAAAGAAAACAACCGTAGCCATTGCAAGATGAAGTGTGCACAGAGGACACTTCTCTATTCTGGAGCAAGTCTAGGGAGTGAGCTACCCCTTAATAGTCTTGATGGTATGTTTGCTAGTTGGGCATACCCCACACATTAACGGATAGAGACTCACGTTCACCAGCCCTGGGAGCATGGATACACCACTCTCTGTTTTTCTCTGCTTTAGTGCAGGATGAGCCTCCGCTTTGACCAGGCCCTCGTCACATACAAATTTAAATCAGTGGAGCTACAAAAATGTACATCAGTAGTGGGATTTACCTTGATTAAAAGACATCTGCGTTTTTACGTGTTAATATGTAGCTGTCTACACTTGAGCTAGAGCTTACCAAATGGCACTACACACCTCCATTTAAGGAACTGAATCATGTCCCTAGTGAATACACTTGAAGGCGTCAACAGGTTGAATTATCTGACTGGTGTAGTTGTCTACTTCAGGATACCCACATACTTCTCTGGGTTCTACTAAATGCATTAAACCAGATCTCCATAGGCTAGTGTAGGACTTTAGATAAGCAGTTCAGTACAGACAGATATATCTAGGTGTCTGAACTTGGTATTTCTGAATGTGTGTGAAAATTGTACTTCACTGTAATGATGCAATGTCTTCCTGTGCTAAACCTGATCTCCTTTTTTCCTCTCCTACATCATTACAAGGTGCCATGCCGTAAACCTCAATGGACGATACTACAGAACAGGAAGGTACAATGGATCCCACGACAATGGCGTTGTTTGGTCTACATGGCATGGGGTGTGGTACTCGCTAAAATACTCAGCCATGAAAATCAGGGCTTCGTTCTTTGTTGACAGTGAGAGTGGAGATGGTGAGAACAGTCAGGGAAGCTGAAATCTGCTGCTTTGTAAAGAAACAAAGTACAGGGTGAAAAGAATCACATATGTTAGTAGCCAGCCCTCTGCTGCTGCTGATTGCCAAAGCTGCACTGTGATAACTGGAGTTGCACCTGTTTCTAACATCTGAAGCTAACATCGCAAGTTGTTTGAGCACAGCCAGCCAACAATTTAATGGAAAACATGGATCTCAGGCATGGAATAGCCACAGTTTTCTTTTTGAGCAATTTTCAGGACTTAATTGGAGAGTGTTTATGGAAAGTGCTCTGGACTTTGAATGATCAAGCATGTCATTTTAGCTATCTCTACTCTTCAAGGACTAAATCTTTTTCATCTTGAATTGAATGGTCAGTGCCTCAGTTACGAGAAGACAAGAACATAAACAAGGTGATGAGGAACTGGACTTCATCTGGTGTACTTTCATTAGTGCTTTGTTCTGGATCAGGAGAATGTTTTTAAGCAACTCTTCCTATGGCTCCTAATTGCCACACTTCAGTTCCAGAATGCTCCTGGAGTGTGTGAAACCAAACCAGTGGTTGGACATGCTCCAACTGGTAATGTGCATCCAGACTAAGGCTACTTCAAAATAAACCCCTGCAACACAGACAGTGTGGACACTGGATTTCATTGCCAACAGCTTCCCATTGCAGGTCCACTTGTATAGCACACTGTGACACATAAATGCAGACAAAGACAATGCTGCTGGCCAGACTTAAGCCTCAGATTAAAATTAGGCAAATTTTACTAAATTTAAGATAAGCACAGATATTCTTAGCCGTTCATAAAACAGTCATGATTTATTCGTATGTTCTTGTGTAGTTTACCAGATGACTTTGAGTTAGTAAAGGGGAATCAGAAAGTGAAAACTGTTTGAGCCATAAGGCACACTGCTTTCATTGTCCCATTGGGGTGAAACAAAAGAGCAATGCAAATGACTGAAAGAAATGGAATACTGAAAATTTATTTTCCACAAGTTGTTAATTACAACAGTTACAAATGAACAGTAGTATCAGCTTGATGCAAATCATTTAACTACCATGTTGTAGTATGAGCCTATTTTTTTTTTTTCTACATTACACGCATTTTGTAATCTGGTAGTTCTTTTCCATTTATTTGCTTTTAGATCCATACATACTGTAATTTGTATTATATATCCATAAAGCAGGAAATAAACCACCTGAGTAGGATTTAACACTTTGTATCTGGTTTTCAACAGTAGGAACTTGAACAAAAATATAAATTAAAATCTTGACAAAGCTCGTAACATGAGAATTTAATTCTTTTGGTGTTTGCTCTGGTTCTTTTGCACCTGTTGTCCTGGGCAGTTTAGAGAGTCCGCAAGGTAAATTTAATTTCCATGGCTCAAGCTGTCTTGGAGACAGTGCAGAGACATGTGAACATTCAGTGTAAAATGTGGTTAGGTTCCTGTGCTTTGTCAGCAGGTGAACCCTGGTCACACTTCTTCCTAGACATCCCAGTGATTGCAAATGTCAACACCAGAACGCACTGGGCCAGCACTCCAGGGAGCTGTGCTCCTAAAGCCTGTGCCCTGGCAAGACTGCACCACTGCTGGCTTCCCAAGCATTGGCATGTACCCACGTGGAACAAAACGTGCACTTACATCTCTGAAATGAGGTTGCCCTTGTGAAGAATGAGTGTGAACACTTACTATTTCCTTTCTGATCACTAGTTCTATATTTCACTCTGGTAAAATTTTAGTGCAAGGTTGCAACTGCATGTTGGGAGCATAAGGAATCACTTTGCACATGTTATAACCATGTGGCCACTGGTGCAGTGCTGAGGGCAGTAAGGATGATTTTTGTCTAGGCAGAAGACACAGAAATGTGACTGCAAGAAGGTCTTGCCAATGCCTTCTGGCAGATGGTGCTCAACCCCATTCTTCACTAGAGGGCGAGGGAAGCAGGGTAAAGATTACAGACTGGAGATGCTCAACTCTGCCTGCCAGAAATGAACTACAGCACCAAAGGGCCAGCATTAGTGGTTTGACAGTTCACTGACCAGCCGATAGCCCATCCGATAATGGAGTATCAAGCAGGAGATGAAGTCAAGAGGGCTTAGTCAGACAACTGCTACCCAGTCCGGTTCCCCAGTGAGTGAGCAGTGGAAGTCCAGAGTACGGAGCCTGTTTTGCCTTGTGTCAATATGGAAGGCCGGGCATTAGAATTGACTGCCTTCAGCCAGCATCCATAACTTATGGTCTTTTTTTCCTCCCTGAGAAACAAAAAGGGGGCAAGATCTGACAAGCTGGGAGGGAACGGGTCTGACTTCCTGTCTTAGATGTAACATGTACTTAAGTCCACTTAATGCATTACAGTAGCGGTTCCGAATGTAGCCCAACACTGAGACAAGGTTACAGAAGGCAGCACCTGGCTTAGAGCAAGGCTCCCCCTCCTCTGCCCTCCTGTGGCACAGAGAACCCCCTGGAGATGTCGGGGTCACAGGGCTTTGTGCAGGACCCTGTAGCTCCCACAGCAAACCCTAGGAAGTGTTTCAGAACTCTCTTTATCTTGATAAACAGGGTAAAATGCCACTTATAGAGTACTTCATTGATCAAGAGGGCTACCGCCAAGCCCAAATCACTCCCACTGAAGGTTCGGGAAATGCTTGCTGAATGTTGCTGTGCTGCCTATTTGATCTCCCATTTCTCCAGGGTCTCATGTGCTGAGAGGCTCACCAAAGCTGTAAATACATATTGTAGCACTCTACGTCTAATGCTGACAGATCACTGCTTCAGGGCAAACACGCTTCACACTGCGGAGTCTACCCTAGCACAGGGGTGGTAAGTAACCTGAGCAGCAATTGCTTCAGAGGTCTGATTTCCAGCTCATTTAAGTCAATTTAAAGACTTGTTACATTTGATTAGCCTTGGATGGGTCCTCAAGTGTGGACATGTTCTCAAATGCTTTAAACAGCATTTTAAACTCAGTTTATGGGAACATGTAGCTGGTAAGAACACTGCACTGCGCTGAAGAGCTGAACATCAACAACGCTGTGTGCTGGCGCAGCTCCTGGGAAAGACGGAGCTCACATCAGCCTGTGAGTCAGATACGATGTTCCAGCAGCAGCTGCAAAATGTTACCCATCAAAAAGACTGTTCGAATGGCAAGGTTTGACTCTGGCAGACAAATGCTGAGCATTTGACTGCTCCTAGTCTGTCACAGCAAGCCTTCCTGCTGTGCATCTGCCAAGTTACCTGTGCACTCTTTGGACACTTCAGTGGGGTGCCATCAGTAACCAGCTAATGCACAGTGATGCTGCTCTCCCTTTAAAATTGTTGGTTTGTAGAAAAAAAAAAAAAAAAAAAGTGTGAGATTGGGAAATCTATCTTTCCACTCAGAAAGCCAGTTCTGAGAAAGACAGCAGCCTACCGTCACAGAACTGAGCACATGCTAATTTTTCCTTCACACCCACAAGGCAGGCTAAAGGGCACGTAGGGTTGGGCTTCTAATGGGAGAGTTGTTTTAAGACTGACAGTCCTCTGCCTGAACCTACCTTGTCTCACTCCATCCTCCATGGGCAGCATCTCCTCCTTTCTTCTGTTGCCCAATAGCATTCCCCTGGTTTTTGCGAACTCCCCGAAGAGACAGTTATCCTAACCAATGCCAAGCAAAGTCTCTGACTCATTCTTGCTGGCCTGAGCTCTGTTGTTAACTGGGGTTTCAACCCAGCTCTGAATACTTGCAGCAGTGTGTAATTGCCAATTTGTGATCTCTCATTTTAAAGCACAAAAAAACCCCAATATAACTTTTGTACTTCACCACAAGATTCTCTGGGAATCGTCAGATGTTGTCAAGCCATTTTATTTTCTCTTTTTGTTCCCAAAACAGGTATTGATCAACTAGATTTTTTGTTTACTGGTTTTGTTCATAATTTATTTTGAGCTTGCTGTAGTAGCATTATTGCCAATTTATTACATTTTTTTAAAGTTTAATAAACGCAAAAATGATTATGGAAAGGATGGGTGATTCAACAGTTTTCTCACTGCCTTTTACAGGTGCTTAAATTCTTCAGTAACATTTCTGTGAGAACTAAAATGTGAACATCCATTTTCTCTTCCCTCCCAGCAGCATGCCCTTTTCTACTCATTCCCTGCAAATATTTGTACATTACTGTTTTCTTAGTATAAATATTGGCAGAAAGAAATACCAAAGTCTTGAATGATGAAAAATGCCCCCTCAATTTTAAATTCACTCCCAAGTATTCAGCATCAATTGTGTGCATTTTCATGCAACTGGCTAAAAGAAACATCACCATATGGCTTACTTGAGCAACTATGACGAATCAACACATTTCAATAATGACTACCAGAAAAACAATGAAAACTCCTCACAACTTGAGGTTTGTGTTTTCTAAATGGGAAATGATTCACTAATTAGGACAGATGGTTGAGGATACTGGACAACGTCATAATCTACAAGTACATGGTCCACAAGGTGAGAAAGGCTAGATCAGTAGCATTCATCATGTATGATGCACAAAACGTGACTGCTTTAGGCAATAAAATCTATTGGCTATTCCTGCATCACACCTTCACTAATGTGTTTTCACAGGGTATTTCATGTGTATTTTACACGCATATATACAAAAAATAATGACATGGAAGCACTCTCCAATAATTAGAAAGGAATGTGTTCCCACAAGCCAGACTTGGGGCATTATTCCCTCCTGGTCTGTGCACAGGGAATGTGATTCCCACTGCTCTTTCCGCCAGAAGCCAACAGATCCTGGAGATCCTCTCCTGCGCATGCCCCTCCTGCAGGGCTGCAATGAGTCACTCAGATCACCAGCTTCTCAATGCTTAAAGTACTTGTTTCATCCTCTTCATTTGAGCCAAAATACCCAGGGAGGTCTATCATCTGCTGCTCTGCCTCCGTTAAGCCAAAAGTAGTATTATCATAAAAGGCAAACTCAGGGTCCAAGGGGAAGCTCTGGCACTTGTCCCTCCGGTACTGGGCAGGGCTTACACTTAGGCCTCTC